TTGGAGTCAAGAAAGCCTGAGTTCAAATCTAGCCTAAGAAACTTACTCTGTGACTCTGGGCCATCACTTAAACACTGTCTGGCTCAGTTTCCTCATCTGTAAAATAGAGATAATGATAGCACCTATTACCTAAGATTTTTGTGAGGATAAAGTGAGATATTTATAAAGTGCTTTGCAAACCTTAAGCTGTAATATATAGTAATAAAAAATAATAATGATAATAGCTGTGTGCTAAGTGCTTTACAATTATTGTCTCATTTGATCCTCACAATAACCCTGCTAAGTAGGTAGTAAGGAAACTGGGGCAGACAGAGGTTAAGTGAGTTGCCCAGGGGCTCAGCTAGTAAGTCTTTTGAAGCTGGATTTGAACTCAGATCTTCTTGACATCAGCTCTTGACACATCTATTGTGTGCTCTATTATGCCGCCTTATATAAATGTTAGCTGTTACTTTTAGAATTTAGAAATATTTCCAGCAAGGGTTGAAACAACAACAACAAAAAAATTTATTCTTTACTCTCTTAGTTGATTGGAAAATAAAATTATTTAGACCATTTTATTCACTGAGCATTCTAGTTAAGTGAGATCATATTGTTATAAGTATATCTATACATTGGTACTATTGTGTTAAGGCTTATCCAAAGGAAGCCAATAAATGGATAGGAGGTACTTTCTCCATTTTGAAAATGAGTTATGTTCCAGAAGTTTATTTGAAGTAGGATGAGTGGTGCAGTGGAAAAGCTGAACTTGTAGTCATGATATTCAGTTCCAATACTCGTCTTGCCCCTTATTACCTGTGGGACTCTGAATAAGCCACATCATCTCCTCAGATCTGTTTCCTTATCTGTCAAATGAAGAGATTTTTCTAGATGACCTCCCAAGTTCCTTCTGGCTCTAGATCTTTTGATTGATTAGATTTATTTGAAACATTGAGTCTGTTTTTCTCATAGAAACTTTTTTTGGGGGGCGGGGGAGAGGATAAGTGGAGTTGCATTGAAGGGTGGGATGTGATTTTACCCAGGTAAGGGACTCCAAATGTGAAAATTCTAATCTGATCCAAATTGCAACTTGTTTGTAACTTACAGTCTTAGAGGGGGAAAGGAAATGGAATCAGCATTTATATAGCACCTATAGCATATGTACTAGGTGCTGTGCCAAGTGCATTACAAATACTGTCTCATTTGATTTTAAATATGTGGTACTGAGAGGTTAAGTGCCTGGCCTATTGGTATTTAGCCTGTATGTGTTAAGATAAGGACCTGAAACCAGGTCCTAGAGACTCCAGGGCTGGCCCTCTATCTTTGAGGCCACGCTGCCTTATAGAGGAACAAGATAACTCTTTACATTTATCTGTAGCACTTTATGGTGTACAAAACATTCCTTACAAATCCCTTATGAGGTAGGTAATACAAATAGTAGTACCTGCAATCTACAAGCAAATTGTTGTATGTCCTTCATTCTCAAAGAGGATCAGTGTTATAATGAGGGTGATGTCTTGACTTGTGAGTGAAATGGGTTTAAGTGAGGCAGAGCTGTGTAAAATCGTCAGCCTTATTCTCTCCTCCAGAGTCATTGGAGTCCAGTAGCAAGACAAGAGTCCAAGATGACTGGCAATGAATGGCCCAGGATGCAGTGGGTGACCTTGGCCTTTTTAAATTAAGGTCTTTCCCAGGTCTTAGTTTGTCTGACACAATGCATACTGAGGTTCAAGGAGGGTTAGTTACTTTTTAATGACCATAAAAATACTGTTAGGTATGAATCTGGGATTTAAATCCAGAGTTCCTGATTTCATTACTAGGGTTTGTTCTACTGTACTACATAGCCAAATGGTTATTAAGGTTCCCAGTTTAGGATACGAAAACCTGTTTAACCCATGATGCCATAGTTCTGGAACTCAGTAGCTAAAATGTACTGTATGTTTATATTTAAAGAAAGTAGAAATGTTGCACTAATGGTAATGAAACAAAACAGAAAAGCACTAACATTAAATAAGAAAGTTGTTTTATTTCTTGAATGCTTGTGATTGAAGGTGTTGTAGTCTTTGGGCCAATGATCTGGCAACTCCATTTGTCATAAATAGTATAAAGAGGAGTTTGTTAGTTGATGTGTAAGGAGTTACTAGGGGATGGTCATAAATTAATATTTATTATTTGGGAAGCCTGGAGAGGGGTGTAACAAACTCTTTGTTGTTAGTGATTATTTGTTAAGTTGGGAAGTTTCTGTATACTTTCTTCTTTGGTTATTTTGTCATCTAAGACATAACACTGATAGTCCTAACATGGGCGTTTTGGTGTAGTGCAAAGTATAATGAACCTGAAATCAGGATATATGAGTTTTAGTCACAGTTTTGCAGTGTGACCTCAAGCAAGTCACATTACTTCTTGGGACTCAATTCCTGCAACTCAGAAATCAGGTAGTTGCAGTACATGATTGCTAAGATCTTTTCTAGCCCTAATAGTTTGTGGTTTTGTGATTATGTCAGCATCAGTATGAAATTAGTTTTTAAAAAACTTTTAAATTAGCATATTGAACTTTCATAAGAAATATCACCCCTTTGTTTTTAACTTGTGATATTTGTAACTATAAGGTGACATTGGTAGCCTTCCTTTTTGTTGTTTTTTTGCTTTTTGGTGAGGCAGTCGGGTTTAAGTGACTTGCCTAGGGTCACACAGCTATTAAATGTAAAGTGTCTGAGATTGGATTTGAACTCAGGTCCTCCTGACTCCAAGGCTGGAGCTTTATCCACTAAGCTACCTAGCTGCCCCTAGTAGCCTTTCTTTTTTCCAGTTAACATTCTTTGCTGCTTTATTATAAAAAAGAACAAATATGTTGTGTTTGTTTATGGGGTGGGAGGAGGCAAAATGATTTGAGATTATTAGAAGAAATACATTTTCAGTCCATTTTCAATATTTTTTTCTTTGCTCCTTATACCTTATGATGTAAAGATTTTTTTTCCTTTTTTTTTTTAAAGGAAATTGGGGTTAAGTGACTTGCCCAGGGTCACACAGCTAGTATGTGTCAAGTGTTTGGTTTGAGGTTGGATTTGAACTCAGGTCTTCCTGATTTCAGGGCCAGTGCTCTATCTACTGTGCCACCTAGCTGCCCCTGACAAAGTTTTTTTTTTCTTGATAAGGCAATCAGGGTTAAGTGACTTGCCCAGGGTCACACTGCTAGTATGTATCAAGTGTCTGAGGCTGAATTTGAACTCAGGTCCTCCTGACTCCAAGTCTGGAGCTCCATCCACTGCACCATCTAGCTGCCCAAGACTTTTTTTTTAAAAGTTATTACAGCATATGATTATGTTCCTCAGGTTCTGGTAGTTTATAACAAGATAAAAGTACATTCTGAATCCTGAAACTGTTTAAGATTTTGAAAAACCATAATTAATGTTATGGAAGCTTTTTTGACTTTAACTTGGTCTCACATATTGGTAACTTTGATTTCATTATAGTTTTTTCTTAAGTTGTATGTCTGCTTGAGGTACATAATATTTTAGCTTGACTTTAATATATTAAATTCTTGATTTATCTAGGAAATAAAAACTAGTGTTTCCTCAAACATATTTAAGATTTCCTGATTTGTACTCACAAGTAAAAATGTGATTATTTAAAAAATCATTCTCTTAAGATCATATACTTAGAGCCAGGAACAACCCAAGAGGTCAAGTTCAGCGCCCTTGTTTTGTGAGTTTGTAATTTATCATTCATGAACAGTGCTTCTGAACTTTTCCGGTGTCTTGGCTCAAGTCCTTTTATCCTCTTAGCACATCTAGAGGAGATTTTAAAAATAGTCTTAATAATTAGTCTTAGAAACAAGAGTTGACAAACATAGTAATCCTTTTGCCAGGCTCACTAATCACTATTTTTGTGTAGGCTTAATCCAAAAAATGAGTGCAATCATTATTTAAAAATCATGAGTTTGAGAACAGATGTCAGCAAATCATTGATGATGTGAAGTCTTTATGCCATATTTCAGCAGTAATTTCAAAATGGTGTAACTTAACTAAGCATTTTCAGAAATTAGCTAGTGGTGAGTGTACTATACATGTTTGTTAAGAAACGAGAGGCTTTTCTATGGAGAAGAATATAGTAAAGTTTGGGAGTTTCTGGCTAGCAGCCATAGTTCAGTTCCCAAATATGCAGACAAAATAAACAAACCATTATTTGACTCTTCCACTCCTTTAATCATCTTGTATCTCTCTTCCCTTTTAGAAAAAGCTGTGGTACTACTTATTTAACCTCTACTTTTTCTCCTCACTATCTTCAACTCTTTGGAAGTCTAGTGTCTGACTTCATTACTTAATTGAAACATTTTCCCTCAAAAGTTAACAGTAATCTCTAAATTTACAAATTCAATGGATTTTTCTTAAACCTCATCCTTCTTGATCTGTGCAGCATTTGATGCTGTTCTTTTTCTTCTCTAGCTTTTTGTATCACCACCCTCTCTTAGTTTCTGTTTGTTCTCTTTTGGTCTCCTTTGCTAGATTCTACCTCCTAATTGTGCACATGCCTCAAAGATCTGTCCTGAACTTTCTCTCTTTCATCATTTTCTCTTAATGATCTCATGAACAAAATGGAGGCATGAGATGGAATTTTATAGCAGGACTTGAAGGAAACTAGGGAAACTATGAGGTGGAATTGAGGAGGTAGAGCATTCTAAGCGTGGGTGACAGTCAGTGAAAATGTTTAGAATTGGGAGATAGAGTAATGAATATGAGGAATAGTATGCTTCAAAGAAAAATCTATGATTGATTTAATGATTAAAAGGGGGTCACTGATTTGGCTCATTGACACGTTACAAAACAAGTATGGCAGACATTTGGTAACTGTGATTTTTGTCACCTTTTTCTTTTCTTTTTTTGTCTTTCCTGCATTAGTAGTAAGTGTGGTGATGTTCAATATCTTGATTTTTCCATTTCAAGATTAGAGATATACATCACAGCTGAACTGAATGTTGCATTTTTTTTTTAAAGTTTTAATAGTTTCCCTGTTTAATTTCTCAGATGATACCATGGAATGCCAAAGTGGAACGAAGAAAGAAGATCAAAATGACAAAGAGAAGAAAGATGAAGAGGAAACTCAAATGCCTATGTATAAGGCCAAATCGATTTTGGAGAGTTGGGTGTGGGGCAGACAACCAGGTATTATGAAATTTTGTGACTGTGCTATTTGACCCAGAACTTGCTGCAAATGTAATATTCTGAATACTTGTTTAATGTGATTTCTTCATTTTTTTTTTTTACTGTTTTACCTATAAAACTCAGTGCTTTAGTCATCTTTTTGACTACTTCATATCTTAGCTAGTTTTTGTTTTATCTTATTTCTCAGCATATACTCTGTAAATTTTACATTTTAAAATATGCTTGAACTCAGAATATGAGCTTTACATAACATTGTCAAAGGAATCATTGGTGGAATGGTGCTATCCATTTAACTCTGAAAATTCTTGAATGTAGACTCTTTAAGAACACTATTCATCTTTTTTCTTTTCTATGTTTTTTGACCCTTATCACAATCTTAAATATTCTTATTTGGAAGATTAACTTGAAATAAATATAGGGAAAAAACTAACTTTAATTATTTTTAATTTTTTTTTTGGCAAGGCAGTTGGGGTTAAGTGACTTGCCCAAGGTCACACAGCTAGTAAGTGTCAAGTGTCTAAGGCTGGATTTGAACTCAGATCCTCCTGACTCCAAGGAGCTCTATCCACTGTGCAACCTAGCTGTCCTATCGGCATAGATTTTTAAAAAGGGAGAATTGATAAGAGTATATTGGTAGTTTGCAGTTTTAGAGAAAGCTTTCTTTCTGCAAGTTGTAATTTGTTATGCTGTGCTGGTTGAGAGAAATCTTGTTGTAGTAGTAGGGCTGTTAATAGAAAGGATGAATTCCAGTGCCATGCAGAATCTTAATCTGAAGGAGACATAACGATATTCAATTCATTGAGCATCTACTAAGCACCTGTATGCAGTGCATAAGTGTCTACTATTTGCCAGGCGCTATACTAAGTGCTGGGGATACAATTAATAAGAAACAGTCCCCAAGGAACTTACACTCTAATTGGAGAGACAGGTCACAAAAGGAAGCAGGAAGGTGGGAGTGGGGAGAGAGACCAGGGTGTCCTTGGCATCTGATTCTGTGGAGTTGAAACTGGGCAGGGTAACAGATAGAGTGGGGTGAATCCATTTTATACTTTCTATAAGGGAAGGCATTGGGAAGAGTTTGATATTCCACCCTCCAGCCCTTTAGTCCTAGGGAGAGGAAGCTGAGGGAGGTGGTCTCAGTCAAGACTTGAGTTAGCAGGCTTGGTGATGAGATTAGAGGTGATGAGCTTTACCAGAGAAGAGTGGAGGACTTAAAAGCTGCCCAGCAGCAGATGTAAAATGCAGGAATATCATTCAGTTTCATTTAAAATAGTTTGATTTGTGTAGAAAATAGGACATAAATCTATAGATCTGTCTGTCTATCTGTCTAGGAATATTGAGATTACAGGGAGAAGAGAGAAGCTTCATATGGATTCTGGCAAGGAAGTAGTGAGGAGAAGCCCTAGAAGAATGTGATTTGCTGGATGAACCTTTGCAAATGGTTCTCTGTGTTCCCTTCTCCTTCCCCCTCCAGGTTCTGGATATAAGTAGCTTTTATAGAGCTAGTTATTGTCTTGTCTTCCCTCAGGGAGCCAAGACTATCTATCCCATTTTTGTTGTTGTTTGTCCTTCCCCGTTGTTTGTCCTTACCCCAAAAGGCGTGGAGAGGAGAGATTATGAATCATTACTTCTGTTGCTCCTTTTGCTTATTTTCTCACTGTCCTCTGGTTATCTGAGAGAACTAAATCAGGTTTGCCTCTGGGGTTGGCTTCATAAATAGGCATAGTTTGACTTTAAGGAGTCCTTTGACCTTCAAAATCTCAAGTTGGTATAGCAGAAAGAGTGGTGGATATGGCATTAGAGGAACTGGGCTCAATCCCAGCTCTGAAACTTAATATATTTGTAATGTTAGGCTAGTAACTATCTTCTTTGAGTCTGAAATTGAGGATTGGACTGGATGACTCATAAGGTATTTTCCAGCTTTACCTTGCTGATTGCCTAAAATTCTTGTTCTTGGGATTATAGCCAGATTTCTTTAGTACTTGGAAATAAAAGGCTTAAAATGCAGATGTTTGGTTAAAATAATTTATTGAAATTTATTGACTCCATTCAGTTCAACAAACATTTATTAAATGTTTGCTGTGTCCAGAGCACAGAACTAGTTGTGGTGAATTTATAGCCTAGTAGGGAGGCTGTGATACAAATAACTAATACAGAGTAGAATGTTTACATGTAAAAAGTGCTATGAGAGTTCAGTGGATGTGGGGATCAGGGAAGACTTCATGGTGGAGATGACTTTTTAGTTGCATAGTGAGTCAGACAAAACAACAATCAATTAAATGATTAATTTTTTTCCTGTTTTGTTAGGAGTTCTTCTCCAGGGCTTCATGGAAGAGTGGAGGTAGCCCATGGGTTCTCAAAGGCTGTGCCAGCTATTCTGTATTAGGCCTACCAAATGAATGAGTATCAGCTCAGATAGGTTTGAAGCTGAAACCAAGCTGGAAAGACTTTGGGTACATATCCAGTGGTAGACTTTTTGTCCGTTGAAGGACCAACTTCTCTATTTTCAGAGAGATTTATCATCAAGTTGACTTCCATTTAATGGATTTTTTGGCAACAGGAATCTTTATAGATAATTTCCTTAGTTAGAAGTGGTTGTGGCCTGCTTTGGTGAAAGAGTTCCCATAATAGTGAAATTACAGATCCTTCAAGTATGGAAGTGAAGTTTCAATAGGAATCAGTTCATGGAGGCTTTCTTCAGAAAAGAGCTCTTCCTTTGTCACATTTTCCATTGCTGACTGTTCCCTTTCTCATGTATGGTACATGAACTGAATTAGAATGAGGAATTTACATCCTCCTTGCTCCTTACTACTACTACCCCCTACTACTAGCCTCCATTTGCCCCCATCTGCAACCTTTCCTTCTTTGAAGTGAGTCTCTTTGTTTATATGAACCTGTCCAGATTTTTGTTGCTGTGAACTACTGACTTCATACCATTCTCAGATGAGATAACATATGCAAAGCATTTTGCATATCTTAAAGTGCTGTGTAAATGCTATGTTGTTGGTCTCTTCTTTATTTTTTTGAGGGAGTTGAGAACTTGGCTCACAGGTTTTCTCTATATTCCATCGCCTATGTTTATATTTGTTGACTTTAGTATTCATATTGATATACCTTCAAGTACCAGGTACTCAGGAAATACCTTCCTGAGTCATCAGTCTTCTTAAGTTTCCATATCTTCCATCTTCACTCCACCTCAGCTACCGCTCAGATGTCTTCACTGTCGCCCAACACTGTTCTGCCTACATGATCTTGAGCTCTGAAATGTTCATAGATTACTAGAATTGCTTCATTCAGTAGGATCATAGATTTAGAGCTGGAAAGGATCTTAGCGGTCATATAGACCAGTCCTCTTATTGTACAGATGGGGAAACCAAGGCCTAGACAGATGAAATGATTTCAGCCCAAGGTCACACAAGGTAGTGAGTGGCAGAGCTGGGATTTGAACTGAAGCCTTCTGACTCCATAGCCAGTGTTCCTTATCCTTATATTACTTTCCAATCAAAACTATTCCCAAAGTTGTTCTTAGTTTTCACCATAATCTCTTGTCCTCCTCACAACCTCTAGTCACTTTATCTGCCCTGTTCTCTGAGGCTGTCATCCATCTTCCTATTGTCTTTTATTGTTAGTCTTGACCCTATAGTTAACCAGTTGCACACGGAACCCATGCCCTTCACCCATGAATCTCTTGCCCCTTGCACCTTGATGCTTTTCAGCCGTGAGTCATCCTCACTCACTGTTTGTCTTCTCTTTTTTTGGCTTAGCTATTGAATGGAGGAAGCGACTACTAGATCTGCAGTAAATTTATGTTATCTAACTTCCTCTGGGTCTTCTCTTCCATGTGGCATTTTTTATATTTATCTTTGATGGATTTTCTACCACACTCCCACAGCAGCTATTCCATAACTTCTCTTCAAGACTATCTCCTTCTTTGTGACTTGGAGCGAATCTTTTTATATCAGTGGTCCTCAGTTTTCTCATTGGTAAAGAAGCAGACTGGACTGGTTTAGGGTTTTTAACTGTTTTTGTGTTATGAACCTTTTTGGCAGTCTGGTGAAACTTAATGGGCCCTTTTAAGAATAATGGTTTTTTTTTTTAATGCGTCAAATAAGATACATAGGATTTACAAAGGAAACCAATCATATTGAAGTACGGTGATCAGAAGATTAAAAAAAAAAAGATCATGGACCTTATGTTAAGAATTATGATCTAGTTGATTTCAGAGGGCCCTTCCACTTCTAAAATTCTTTTGATTCTACACTAACAGAGGTACAACTCATTAACATACCTATTGTTTTGAGACAGTCATTTGGTAGATTTTAACCATGTATTATATATAACTTGTGAACACATGCTAATTCTTTTAATGGTTAACAGATTTATGAATGAAGTAAAGATTTATTTAAAACTGCAAAAAAACAAAAAAGCTCTTTATTTTTTCTTTTCCTTCTTGTGGCAGAATGATTGCTTGTTAGTCAGTGGGTGCCTGAGATTCAAATTATTTTTTTTTTCCTCTTTGCTATTATAAGACATCTTTGAATTTTGTCCCTTTAAAAAAAGTTCTCTCTAGTTTATGAAATGCCATATTAAAATGAAAATTGTGTGAGTAATAACCTATTTTTATTTTCTAAGACAGACCTGAATTTAGGACTGTTTTAACATGAAAGTATTTTGAGTAATTCTTTTTTAGCAATTTAAGTCTTGGATTTTTCTCAGTCTTCCTTTCATACTTAGTCACTTTATTAATCTTTAGGTAAAGGGTAGTTTGGTATGACTTTTCCTTTTATAATACGTATAAAATGCAAAAGGAATTGCAATTATATTTTGAATCTGACATATAAGAAGGAAGGTAAATCATAGGGTTTAGCGTGAAGTTAAAGATATGGATGTCCATGATCCAGCTCCATTTTTTGAATTAACAGCATATTTTGTAGTGCTTACAGGACATTCTTTAACCCCTGGTTATCTCCTTCAGGATAAGGCTTGATTCATAACATGAC